CTATAATGACAGATGGCATGTGTGCCTGTCATGATCTATTTTCTTCTGTCTTTGCTGACATTTTGGAGAAAATCTGCATCTTGTGCTCACTCTCTAAAAGATCTCTCCTTGAGCTGTGACCAAAGTTGAAGTCAGAAACCATGTCCTTGGCACCTCCATGTATATATATACATGTATATGTGTGTATACATATATATATATATATATGTATATGTATATGTATAATATATTTTTACAAATAATTATTTTATCTGAACAGTTTCCAATGTGGGAAGAAAAAGAAACTCAAGTCAGTAACCCTCACAGTGGCTTTGAGGAACCCCAGAACCTGGAACTGTACATCACAAAAGCTTTGTATGAGAAGAAAGGTAAATAAGGAGCAAGTTAGGTTGTAAAGGATGGAGCCAAAAATCATAAACAAATAAAATCAAAATGTTTCCATCCAGTCACATAGCTATCTCCAGGGCATCACTGCCCTAGACTTGGCAAGACTAAGCATGGTTCAGAACCTGACAGTCTCCAGCCTTTAATTTTATGAGGCATTTCTAGAAATCCTGATTAGAAGTGGCCATTTCTTATCTCCTTTATATGGTCCAAAGAAAATTAGATCAGTTATATATTAAAAAAAAAGCAATAAAAGATCCAGTGACTTCTGGGATCAAGGTATAAATAGTGGCTTTTAACCAAAAATCTCCTCCTCCTGAAGGGACGCTGAGGGAGATGGCATTTAGGTCATTCTGAATTCTTCCTCTGGCAGTTCAGCCTTTAGTGAGAAACAGGTCACATAATATTTTACAACCTGAGGCCAGGGAGGACAGTGGAAAAGGATCCAGCACAATATAACTAGAACTTCTCAGATTCAATCCATTATTTGTCAAGCCCTAGTCATTTTGGGTGGGTTTACACAAATTAGCTCATTTGATCTCAGTCCCGACACTGTGAGGTAGATGTCATTATGGTCAATTTCTAGAGAGGGAAGCTGGACCCTGATGACATCATTTTACCCCTCTGGGCCTCAGATAATTAAGAAGCAGTGGATTCTACTTTTACTGAGACTTTAAGTCTCCGAATAAACTGAACACTAGCAAAGGCCCTCTTTTGTTTTTTGTACACAATGTCCCGTTGATTCCTCTCTGAGTGAACCTGCATCTCACAATGATACCTGGTCTGAAAACACAGAGACATAGAGCAATTTAACTCTCTTCCTGTAAAGTTAATGGTAATGAAACTAAGTCAAAGGGACATCAAGAGGCAGCGGTCCTTTGGGAGCTAACTACTGGGCTACATCTGGTCCCCCTTTGGCAGAAGGACCCATTGGACCAGACAAGAGAATTTGGCAGGATCAGGTGTGCGCATCAGGATGGGGCATTCCCAATGCTTATGTTGGCTCCCTGGCCTTCCTGCCTCTGAACAAGGCCAGCTGCTCTGAAAGGCGAGCATACAGTGCGTGAAGCTGGGGCCTGGCTGCTGTGTGTTGAGCAGTCTTATTTCAGTCCAATGAGGGGACAGAGGGCATCAGGCAACGGCCTGCTCAACAAGTGGGTCAGCGGGGCAACGGCACGTGAAGGGTCAGGAGCCACTCACTGCATGAGGAGTGCGCTTGGGAAGTTAGATTCTAACGTCTTCTGGACGTTGTAAATACGGGGGCCATACTGCCACGTCCATCAGGCTCTCTAAGGACTCTCAGTGACGTGCAGTGTAACCAGCTTTGCGTTTGTGGTAGAAGGAGTATTGCCCTAGTATAAAGAAGACACAGCCCCTGTCTTCAGCTCTGCACTGATCTGCTGCAACTATAGGGAAGTCACTGTCCTCCCTGAATCTCACTTCACTCCTCTACAGAATAAGAGAGTCCTCCTAAATTCTGCCCACACTGCTCATCTCTCAATAATTTTGGAGCTGGCAGTGTGCTTTTCACACCTCTGGAAATCAAAGCGCGCCCGGGAGGCAGGCCATAAAGTGTTTTCCTTTTGCAAATAAGGAAATTGTGGTCTAGAATGACTGGCTGAAAGTCAGAGATCTCCTAATTCCTGGCTTCATGTTTGTTCCAAGGCACAATCCAGCGTCACCTTGACTGGGAATATGGTTTTGCTTTAGATCACTTACTTGGGTGACTCTCCCAGAGTTGCAGCGGTCGCCTGGGAGGAAATGAGCACGTTTGGAAGCTGTTTTCACTCTGTAAATTAAGATGCCTTGTATCATGGTAACAGGAGCCCGGGGACATGGCTTTTACCCTGAGCTGTTTTAGTGGCAGAGAGAGCGGTTATTCTCAAACTACAGTGCACACGAGGATCCTCAGAGAATCTGCTGGCAGTGCTGATTGCTGGGCCCTAACCCCAGAATACTTCTGCAGGCTGACATAGCTGGTCTACAATTGCCTTAGAGAAGATGATTGTGATGCAAAGAGCATCCTCACCACTGGTGAGAGACCCTGCACAGAACTAGCTACAAAGCCAACCGCAGCCTCTGTTATCTGCCTTTGCCTGTCTACTACTGAGAAATCTGGATGCAGAGGCGGCAGTCTTAGCATGACTTTGCCCAGATGAACCAACTGACTCATACTGCTTTACCCCTTAATTTCACTTTCATCCTCTTTCATCTGGTTGAGCAATTGTATCCACCAGGACATAACGTGAACATGGGAAGAACTCAGATCTCACTGGAAAACAGAAATGAATGCATTTAATGCATTTAGAATATTCTCCTTTGACTTGGGATAGGGCTATTAGACACCTGTCATTACTGAATGAACTCAAAATCACTAAAAATCCCACAGAGATGTGTAGGTAATTTATGTTATGAATCACTGAAGACAGACCAAAAAACTCACTACTTCTTTTAGAGGTACCATAAGTGACATTCTCAATATTTGAAGAAGGTACTTACATAACGTTAATTTTTTTTAAAAAGGTGAGTATAACTCAATAAAAGTTATATCAGGAATAATACATAATTTTAAAACACATTCACAAATCGAAAGGGAACCTCATTTGTTTAATCCTACATCTTCAATAGAGATCAGAAAATAGGATTCCAGAACAGTTAGTTATTATCCAAACCATGGGGGCAAATTATTGACCAAAACATCCTTGGTTTCTGAGATCCATGGAAATTTGTCACATATTTTGAACAATAAATAAATAAACAGATAGACAGATAAATAAAACCTGCAACTGCAGCCCTTCTAGGTATTTAGTTCACATTCTGTTGCTACCTAATGTGGAGAAGAGCCACTCACTCCTCCTTCCAAATACCTTACTCAGTGTGGACAAGAGGAGATTTGTTACTGGTTTAATGCATCAAACAGCATTTAAAAAGGTATAAAAATATACATGTATATATATCTCAATGGTTTCCTCTCCTCTTTTCATTCTCCTGCTGAACTCCTTTAAGACCTGAGCTGGAGTTCCACTTCTACTTACTGGGAGCTTGTGCCAAACTCAAAGGCCTCAGGGTTTCCAAGACTTCTGCTCAAGTGTCCTGGTCACAAACCAGGATGGGAAACTTGGACACTGATTCAAATCGGCCATCTAATGAAAGCTCCCCATGGGGACGTAGAAAATGAAGAGGTACAATAGAACTACTGGTCTCCATTCTTCTTACACTCCCTAGGTTGGAATTATACAGCCACACCTTTTGTCAAGCCATTTAGTAATGCCTTGCACCAGAATCTACTTCCCTCGGTCATTGATGTTGAACTTGGCCATGATTTTCTTTAGTCAATAGAATGTCAGTGACCATAAATAGAGTAGCCTTCTTGAGCTAAGCCTTTAGAGGACAGAGTATGCTGCTGGCCTCACTTGGAACTCTGTTATCCACCATGAGAATCCCATGCCCTGGGTAGTGGTTGGTCTCACAACAATGACAATTTATGGAGCAGACCTGAACCAACGGCAGCCTGCATCCAAACCAGCCCAGGAAAGCTTGGTCAGTCCTGACTGAGCTCGACCAAATCACAGCCAACCTGAAGACTCACAAGCAAAACACCAATATCTATTGTTATAAACTATTCGTGTTTTTTTCCCACATAGCATTATTACAGCAATAGTTGAATGATACCATAGATCAAGAAACTGCCCAAAGAGAGACATCTCAGCCAGGGATGTAGCTTTGATGTACAAAAATACATTTATTTTCAACAATTTCAAAACCACTGTCTTTTTTTTTACAGTAGAAATATTCAAATGGAACAATAAAACCAAGAACAGTATATGTACATATACTGTATATATAGACATGACTCATGCATTTGTATTCCAGGGTTTAGTACAAGTATTGCAATTGTCTGCCCCATTTAACCCTTGAAATGAAAAAGCAGGATCTTTAAAACATTCCTAATTCTGATCTACGCTGTGGCCAGACTTCTCCAGGTCACATCCTCTGGGTGTCTCACAGAGAAGGATGTGAACCATCTCCGACAGAAGCGAACAGGTCCAAAATCCGGCCTTTTCTCCCATGTATATACAGGATATCATTTTTTGAAACAAGTGTGCTCAGGCTGAGCCTGAAAATAAAACAATGCTTACAGCATGGCTTAAAGCGACCCTCCTGAAACGAAGTGGCACGTGGAATGTGTGAAGGGGCTGGGATGCTGGAAAAGAGAAGTCTGGCTTTGAAAGCCACTCGCCCCAGACGCAAGAACTGTCTTAAGGGAACTGAAGGCAGACATTTGACTTTAAGGAAGTTGTGTACATCTGACAAGCAAGAAGCACAGCTTTGCTAACATCAACTTTGACTAATATCATCGAAGGCTAGACCCCTGTTTGGCCCGCAGGGTTTGCACGGTCTCGTGACTCCACAAACACCACCTCTCTCCCTCCTCTTGTTTCTCCCAGGCCGAGAGGCACTCATTGGGCTTAACTGAATACCCAAGGGACTTTTCTGAGCTAAAAAGAGCCCGAGGATACCCCATAAGCATTCTACATTTCCATGGAATCCAACCAGAGAACAGAGTAAGTGTCATTTCTAGATCCATTGCCTGGCTTCTTTAGAGAAAACCACTATTTCAGGCTGATACCTATCCTGAAATTCATCCCTTCAGAGGGGAAGCCTGGTTTCCCCACCTGAGTCTCCATGTGAAGTCTCTCATGGGCATCGTCTCGCAACTTCTTCCATGTCACTGATGGGGTAAAAAGACCCCCACGTTCTCCAATGTCACTCTAGTCCTTCCTTTACCAGTTGTCCCAGAGAAGCCCTCCCCCCTCCCCCCTTTATATACAGAAGGAGAAACCAGTGATGGTGCAGACATAGAGATGCAAGAGTTAAGTGTGACAGACAACTGGAGGGCATCCAGAACCCAATGCGTCACGTCAAGCAGGCCTGGGGCTTGGTCAGCTCTGAGGGTGAGTGCATAAGCCAACAGACGCATCTTTTCTTTTTTTCAGTTTTCTTTTTTACTAAACATTAAATTATTTCTCAGGAAATAAAAAGCTATTTACACTGGAATTATATACAATAAGCCATCCACAGCCTCGCAATGGACATGCACGAGGCAGGGCCTCTTCCGTACAGATGTGCACGCTTTCTGCAGCTACATTCACTCCCCACCAACCTACCTCTGGCAGATCTAACTGGGAAATGGTTTCTGTTTTAGGGGTGTGTGCTGGGTAGGAGGGGGCAGGCGTTGGTGATGTTGGGTGGCAGTGGGCAGGGAATGGGAGGTTAGTGGAAAGCCAACCAACTTAAAAAAAAGAGAGACTACAAGGAAAAAGCGGTTCCTGGCACTGTCAATGGCAGAATGAAGCAAGAAAGCCATGGGAAGAAGCACCCTTTACCCTCAGCACAAATACAGCCATGTATTCTTTTTATCTCATTTTCATCAGCTAAGAATGCCTTCTCCTCCCAAAGCGAAGCCTCTGCCTGCTCTTTAGGAAGGGGCCCTTGGTAAACAAAAGGTAAGAAAAGACATTTTCTTTTTTTTTTTCCGTAATAAGAGTAACAGTGATCATCAAAAATAAAAAGTCAGAGAGATGGTTGACCACGTGGCTTGTTGGTCTTAAACACTAGTGCAGTTGGGGATCTCCTTTGTGCTCTCGCTGTTTGCAATGGTGGCAATGCCTCCTGCAGGGGAGAGAAGACAGAAGGAGATAAGGATGAACATGTCACAGGGGGCTGGACCTTTGTTTTATTTACTACCAAAAACCAAGCCACCTGGCATTAATGTGCTTGATGTAAGTTTATGAAATAGGGTACTCGGATAGTGTCTCCTCTCGGCTCACTGGCTTAGCTATGTTTAATGTTTGCCGTCTCCCACACCAGCACGCCAGGTACGAGCGATCCCTGGCCCTCTTCTGCTCTACTGATCCCAACTGCAACAGCCAACAGATGTTGAGCACTCCTACGTGGCAGTGCCTGTGCTAATGACATACATCATTTCATGATCACAACAATCTCAGAAGCCAGGTACTATTATTCCCATTTCACAGATGAGGAATAGGAGGCACAGAGAGGTCCCAGAGCTAGTAGATGCGCAGAGCAAGAAAGAATCCAGGGCTATCTAGTGGCCGAGTCCCTGCTCACAGGACTATTAATTAGGACGTATCATGCTTTTGCTTTATAGGAAAAATAAAAAGGAAGTCCAACAGTAATGGACTGTTGGCCTCATCCTTCCCCCACCTGAACTCCAGAACTTTCTATCATGATCTTTTAAGAGAAAAAAGGTCTGCCAATTCCATGTGGTGAGAGGTGACGGACACGTTCTAACACATGACGATGTTGCTGCTGCCAATTGCTTTTTCCCACCCGCCGCTCTAGTCCTACCTGAAGGACAGGCCAAGTGGGCTGGCTGGCCGAGTGTTCGGAGGCAGAGGACACAGGAGCGTGGTGATATCAGCACACGTACCTACAACCCGAGTGTCCAGCTCTTTGTCCAGCAGCTCCTCGGGCTCGGTGAAGTCACCGAGTGTGATTTTGGGGGCGTTTTCACTTTGGCTCACTGACCCAATCATCTCCTGCTCCTTGTCGTGCTGGACTTGAGCATAGATGTTAATCCAAGGGATTTTCCTACATGGGGCAGGAGCAAAATCAGGTTACAATCACAGGGCAAGCCAAACTGGGGCAACTGGAAACCCCAGGTGATAAGGGGGAAGAAGCAGCTCTTTACAGGACAGGCTGATGTCAGGGAAAGGGGACGGCCACCCAGATACTGCTGCCATGAGGCCAATGAACGCAAGGAGGAACCCAGATGCCCAGAGGAGATGCAAGCCACAGAACTCCTCGAGGAATGCATCTTCTTCTGGGGCACCGTACCAGCAGGTAATAAACAGAAGGGCCATGCCACTGGCCAGACGTGCACAAAAACCCTCAAAGCCTCTCCCCGTTACGTTTATAAAGGAGGTGGACTTTGAGATTCGCAAGGTTGTTATCATAGAGAAAAGACAGCTTTTTCTAAGTTTGCATCAATTTAATCAATTCACATGGATTTCCTTTGCGAATAAATAGCCAAGGAAAAAAAGACTTACAGCCACCCACAGGCCAAGTAGCTTAAATACTTCCATAGTCAGTTTCCTCATCTGTTCAATCGGAATAACAATAGCTCTCTTTTAGGGTTGTGGCGAGATCAAGGCAAGGGTTAAGAGAAGGTAAATAACTTCCTCCAAAGACACACAGGCAGTAGGTTTAAAAACAAAGCAGACAGACTTGAGGTTGGAGGAGCAGGCAAGTTCAGACTGCAATCTTGGAGAATTCATCTCCAGACCCATTTCTGTTATCTCTTGACCCACTGTGTTCCAGCCTCTGTAGCCCCCTTTGAATTTTGTTTGTTGGTTTGTTTTTACTGAGTTATAGTCAGTTTACAATGTTGTGTCAATTTCTGGTGTACCACACAATGCTTCAGCCATACATAAATATTCATTTTCATATTCTTTTTCACTGTGAGCTACTACAAGATATTGAATATATCTCCCTGTTCTATACAGTATAAACTCGTTTGTCTATTTTATATATACCAGTCAGTATCTACAAATCTCACTCCTAGTTTATCCCTTCCCACCCCCCTCTCCCCTGGCAACCACAAGTCTGTATTCTGTCTGTGCTCCTTTGGATTTTTCTAATCCAGAATTTTTTTTTCCAGGTTACTTTATTTTTAAAATAATTTTATTAACGTGTAGTTGATTCACAATGTTAGTTTCAGGTGTACAGCAAAGCGATTCAGTTATACATATACATACATGCATATTTTTTCTTTTCAGTAACCCAGAACTTCTTAAATCCCAGTGTGCTTATGCATTGCCAGGTTCTTGTTAAAAGGCATGTGTGACTCTATAGGTCTGAACAGGATGGGTTGAAATTCTGCATTTCTGCCTAGTTCCTAGGTGGTACTGATACCTCTGGGGTGAGACCTAAACTTTGAGTTTCAAGATTCTAACACATCAGATTCGCACCCACCTTGGGGACTTTAAATCAACTGTTCCCTCTGTAACACACCTCCTTCTACTCTTCTTATGACAGTGTCCTGCTTGTCCTTCAGAATTTGGCTTACCTGTCACCTCTGAGAAGCCCTTCCTGATCACTCAATCTCTCCCATTATAAATATGTAATTATGGGATGGTGTCTATGAAAGAAATGATAGGGTGCTGGTTTAGAGGGATGGAATAGGCACTGTGTGTGGACTTTTCTTTCTCTCCCACTAAAAGCCCCATTGCAAAGTCTGCTATACGTTTAACTTAGCACAGTACTTGGCACATGATTTATATGAAGTAAGTATGTGTTGAATAAATGAACAATGGCCTCAAAGCGTGTACTCTTTCTATTTTCGTATGTTATGTTCTCAAGCAAAAAACCCCACACTTTTATCTTGGAATATTACAGGGAGAAGAGCCCTCTCTTACCTCATGAAATGAGGGGGAAGTTGGACGTGAAATCCAGACATTTCATGAAGCTGATTACTGGCAGAGATGTTACTCAGACTTGAGACATCTGATACCCACCCCAGTCCAGAACAGACTTTCTGTGCGTGTCTAAAGGGGAATTGCTCTGTTGCCCTAGTGCCCACCAGTAGTAGTGTCAAGCTTCTACACTCCCTTCCCCACTCCAGCCTGCAGTGAGGTAGAATACGGGGCATTTAATAAGGTCTTCTTGTAGCTAATTTAGAAGGAAAGACCCCCAAACATGCTTAAAACATGGATAGTTTCGTCCTCTCCTTTACGTTCAGTTTTCATGTTTTTAATGGTTGCTTTCCATCCATTAAAGAGGTTTCCTCCTGACGCCTACTGGTCTAAACCAGCTTAATATAATTTACAAGAACCTTAAATGAACAGATTCTATGTGAAGCCGCAAACAGCAGGCCCTCTAAATGTGTGTAATTAAAATTTCATGCTGGCCCTTACTTTCTGCTTCTCTAAAGAGAAATGCAGCCTAATGACTGAGATTTCTTCTAATCATAAAGGTACATATAACTCATGAATGTTGGGATTCACTGTAATATTTATTAGGTGCTGAGGGCAGTTGAAGCATTCCTGATCACACACGTCTGGGGACGTCTGAGCTGTAGCCAGAGGTCACGGCCTCCCCATTCCTGCTTTCTTAATGATACTTGTGAAGAATTAGATAAATTGGCCTTGATAAAGACTGTTCACTTTATTTCAGTCTCTGAAAACAGGCATTTTTAAAATATTTTAAATAGATGGTTGGAAAGCAATGGGTGTTATATCACAACTTGCAGCATTTATTTAATTTTTTTTTTCAAATTGCTTTTCATTTCTTAACACACCCACCTGCAGGACTGTACAGACGATAAGCCAAGACTAAAGCTCACTTTTGCAGATAAGAAAGGTGGGAAATAAAGAGATTTAAAGATATGTCCTGCGCTATACATTCATATAAATTTTGAGAAGAGGAGTAAGATGGATCAATCCAAGCCACCAATATAAACTTCAGCTTTTATTGTTTGTTCCACCTATGATTAAGTGTTAGAAGCCCGTGGGAGGAAACCTGGAGGAAGCAAAGTAGGCTTCAGATTCTGATGAAACCCTTACTGAAAAAAAGACTGAGAGAAAGATAAAAACTCTAAAGCGTTCTCAGATAACATGAAAAAATCAATTTAAAGTATAGAAAGAAGGTCTTTTTAGACAGAGTTTTCAGAACATAAAAGCCATCTCAGAATGATTTTTAATTATATTGCCTGAAACATCACAAAGCAGTAGTCACTATCCAAGAATGAGATCAAGTGTGGTCACTTAACAGAGAGAGAGAACAGAATTACCCATGAGCCCCAAGTTCCTTTAAATAATTCTATCCTCCTTCCTCTGTTAAGTGACCACGTGGGACATTGGTAGTTTTCCGCAGCACAAAGCAGGCATTCAATAAATGTTCACTGAATAAATTAATGCCTCAATGAACTACTGCTAAAAATGGCAGAGAGAAAGTTTGGGGTCTGAAAACAGCATGGTCAGTGATCTGGAAACAGAAATAGACTGTCCCTTCCCTAGTCTGTACTGTCCGACTATTTACCAGCCAGGCGCAGCTATTTAAATTTAAATGAATTAAAGTTAAATGAAGTTAAAAATTCAGTTCCTCCATCACATCAGTGGCTACTCTATTGGGCAGTACAGATGTGGAGTATTCTCAACATTGCAGAAAGTTCTGCTGGGCAGTAATGAAAGAAGCAAAGGGGACTCCAGGAATCATGGAAGAGAACCTGACCTTTACTTATCAGCAAGCCAGGCATCCCCCACACAGCCATCACGGGAGTTCCAGGTGGTGAGGAGAGAAAGGAGACCAAAGAAATAAAGGAGGGTCCAAAATGAAGATGGACTACAGCACTGGAAGGAAATCTTCCAGAAAAGGTGACTAGAAAAGAAAAGGTAACGGATGACTGCTTACTCTTAACTCACTCTGCTGTTTACCCAGTTTGACTAGTGTCTGTTTCTTGTAGCCTTAGCTACATGATTTACTGGCAGAGAAAGGACTGGCTGAAATTTGGGGGCTACAGAGGTAGAGTAATTCAGAGATGCCATTAACTGGCATCAATTTAAGTACTAAGCCTACATATTAAGAGATGCCTACATTAATAAGTTGACCATCTAGGTAGTTTAGCAATATTTACAAGAGATGTCTAAGTCACAGGATACATCTTGCCTTAATTTGGAGACACCTGACACAAACACCTCTTTGTAGGACTTCTATGGGCCCCTGTCCTCAGCAAGCATGGAGTTCTAGGAGCCAGAAGGTGATAAATTTGGTTTAACTGATCATCAAGCCCCAGCAATGTGAGGTTTCCCCAAGTCAAATCCTTGAATGAATCAAAGGGTGCTTTGTCTGTAACTGAAGTACATCCGTAAAGGAGTGTTGTTTGACCAGACTGTTTCAATACTGAGTCTTTGCTCTCTAATTGGATATGAAAGTATTTTTCCTTCCTCAAAGGGAGCATGGCAGATGGGTTGACACATCTGGATCCAACGAGATATGAATGTACATAGTGGTCTATAACTTGAGTAGGAAGGTAAACTTCACTCTGTCCTTCTAATGCAGAGCGTTGAAGGTCCCTGCTGTTTTGGCTAATTCTGAGATATATATTGAGTAAAACTGGTGCTTTTATGCTTGAGAAATCCACAGTAGGAGAGCTGAAGTAGGGAGTAGGGAGGGGAGGTAGACTGAAGGACCTTTCCCACTGATCTCTTTCAAAATCTTAAAGCATTAACTTCGGCATCTAGAAAAACTCCCAGCACCAAGTTACACTTTCAGAACTCACCTGACAATAATTCGTGATATTTTTACTTTACCCAGGCTTCCTATGAAACACATTTCTATGTCACTGATACCTGTTGAGCCTCCTATGTGCCACACAAGACACCTTTGGAAGACATGCTGTTATTTACAGTAACTTAGCTTTGCTGATTTTTTTTTTTTATTATGTACCAGGTATAGAGATTGTTACATTTAAAACATATAGCAAACCTATAAAGTGTTATTGTTTTCCCATTCTACACATGAGAGCACGAAGGCTTAGAGAGGCAAATTCAAGGACCTAAGGTTGCAAATGCTAAAAGTTAAAACTGAGTCTGTCCGACTTCAGAGTCCACACCCTTAACCAGCACACCTCTTGGCAGATGCATTAATTATTCAAATAATGGTACAGAACTATTGATTTCAATTTCATGTTCTAAATAAGTACCCTATTATATCACCCCTCCTGTGGCTTTCAAAAATAATTTCTGAGTCCAGGTGGGGTTTGGTTTTCCTGATCAATTTCCTTTCAGAAACAGGAAAAAGAGGAAAGAGGATAAAAAATGAGTATTTTTAGCATGCAAATTCAAACAGAGAAATTGAAGAGCTGCAACACAAGATAAGAAAATGTGTGTGTGTGTGCATACAAGATTCCAGCTGCATTTTCTCTACTTAACCACCCTGAATGTGGGTTAAGCTGTAGAAAAAGACCTCCTAAACATTTGAGACCTTACTTTAGAAACTTAGGTGAGGTTTGACAACCCCTTATGCTTCTCTTGAAGAGAATAAACTGATTTCACAGGCTACCCCTCATTTTCCTAACTCAACATAATCACAGACTGGATAGAGTTCAGATTCTTAACGCCCATTTATTCCCTGACCCTAAGCCATTCCGGCTCCTCTCTGATGCCAAACAGAGCTTCAGGGAGAGTTAATTTTACCTATTTGGGATGAGTTTAGGAATGTTGCTTATATGATGAATTAGCTCCCATGAATCTAGCCCCATGATTAAAACGGACTGATAATACCACCTACCTTTTAAACTTGTAGATCAAAAACACAGCCAGGCCGACGAACACCACTGACAAGAGCATAAGCATGGCCGAGCTGCTGTGCCCAGCGCTGGAGTCCACCAGTGGGGCTAGGAGGAAAGAACACACTTGCTCACTTGGAAGCTATTAGCAGGAGGGAGCATTCATTGCAGAAAGGAGGCCAGCTGATCTTCATCCTTATAACCAGCTTCCCACTGCCCTGTATGCTACCGGGGCACAGGAAGCTTGGCTTCAGTGATGAGAAGGGTATCCCCGATCACAGCTGCTTGGGGAAAGCAACTTCCTCCGCTCTGCCTGGGGAAACGTGCTGTTCTTGGTGTAAACGACACCCAGCTAAGGGGACTAGGACTAGGGCTCGAATGTGCTTTCTCTTAGACAGCCTGCATGCTTATCAACATGACTATAGGTGGCCAGTTGGGAACTTTGGGTTAAATACTGATGTAGTGCGTCGATCTCTTCCTCTTCACTGTTCTGATAAAACACTGCTGGATGGGCCCATTTGGAACCTCCACATCTGAAGTGTTTTATATTAATTAGAAACATTTAGTAAATAGGTGTTCCCAAAGAGCCAGTAATGGATGCCCAACGCACATGCCTTTCTTTTTATTCCTTTCACAAATCAACCACCCAGAGCTGGTTCCTTTTGCTACTTAGATTTACACATTATACATCAAAGAGAGTTTTAAGAACATTTTAAAGTTACTTGATCTGGTCTCCCAGGCAAAGTTCATTGAATCAGAGAATCGTAGAAATTAAGAGAGCCTGAGGACTACTGAACAGGATCCCACCTGTTGTAGATAAAACACCTAATAAAGTTAAAGCCCGAAGAAATTGTTAAGTTTTCCCCCAAGATTATCCAGGAATTCAATAGCAAAGTCACTTCTAAGAAAGTCTTCTTGCCACCTTAACAAGACACCTCAAGAAAGGTGTGATTAATCTTTCTTTGCTATCACTACACAAAGCCACCTTCAGGCATTTATAGAGCAGTGTCTAGTAATTATCTCCTCCCTTTTCTCTCCAGAATATCAGATCACCGTACCCATCTCTCCCCACCCCACCAGACACCCCACCTTGCACTCACCTAATGTCAGCTGTGTGACATACACAATGACTTGAACCCCTGGCTTCAGCTCAAACTGGACCAAGTTTTGGTTTAGAGCATTAAACAGCGTCTCTACAATCTGGGGGAAAAAAGAAGAGGGAGAGAGAGAGGCTGTGTGGGAAGAAATGATGTGTGACGCTCGTCCCTCATGGAGTAAGAAGCCAGGGTCAATAGGCGAAAAATAACCATGCTCAAAGGATGGAATGTTGCAAGATGTATCAATTCAGTTCTCCCAGCCCGGGGAGCCCTGTGAAGCCAAGGACGTAGCTGGTATCGTTCGCTTATACTGGGGAGGAGAGTGAGACAGAAAGAGGTGTGTCCAAAGTTACCTGGTGAATTAGAGTTGACAACAGACACAGACGTTTCATTCAAGTCCCAGTTGAGTGCCTTTTCAGCCAAGCCTGTGTGACTTACTGTAGAAAGACCTATTGTGGGTCCCAGTGAAAGAGAGTCAACCCACCATTAGTTCTTTAATCTGATCAAGCAATACACACAGGGTAGAGAGGCCCCTCCTGCCAGGATTAAAGCAGGAGTGTACACCCCAACCCACGCCTCTGCTTCTTCTCCTTTAGAGACAATGGGAGACAAACATCAGAGCAGAAGCTGCCTCCTTTTTATGGGATAATTTTTCCTCTTTACTTTTCCCCAGCAAGTCTCAGAACACATAACATCGATTTAATCACCGTGTAATTCCCACATGAAAGCTGAGGCAGACTGAGGCTGTTGTCCCTAACTCTTATCTCGCTGTACGCGCCTTAATATCACAGCTGCTATTCATCACCGTAATTACCTATTTATCTAAATGGATGGATATGGTAGCTTCCAAATATAGTTCACACATGCCACTTGCTATTTCAGAATAAAGAGGTCTTGTAAAAGTGATGTATGTATCGGGAAGCTGAGTTTCTCTCTGGCCCATTTCAACATGCAGCCCTGCAGTGCAAAGATCCGCTTCATTTTCCAGAGAAACTGACCATGATGGCATCCACGCAGCTCTCGGAAGGACAGGCGGGGGAGGTGGGGATGGGGTGACAGCAGGTGAGATGCAGAGGGAAGAGGAAGATGTCTGTGTGGTCATTAGCTCATGTGGGAGCAAATGTGTTTGATTCCTGCAGTTTTTAGCAGCTTCCTTCTCACCTGTTTCTACTTCTCCTGACTGAGCATCACAGGAAGGCATGGAAAGGTGAAGCCAAGCCAAGCCAATAAGACCCCAGGAAAAGCAGGGAGTGAGAGAGGGAAAACCAGGAGACGCCACCACCTTCACTTTGAGGATAGTGTGCACATCACGAGAACTATACACCCATTGGGTAAGGACAGTAAATCACAATCCCTTAGGGGAACGCTGCTTCCTTAGTCAAAGCAAGATGAGGTAATCCATCTCTCTCAAAAGACATGTGTTTAAAAACAGTCCATTTTCTTCCTAGAAGTGGAACTTCGATTGACCAGGATCTTTAAAGATAGGAAGCACATTTTCCCAGAAATAGATAGGGAAACTCAAATTCCTCTCCCCCATCTCTCTTTCCCCAGGACAAGTCATTGGTTGAGAGACGTGAACAAGTTGCGGGAATGCCAACTGTTGGAACAAATGATACCAGGGGTGCTTTTCTTTCCTGGGTTGCTGAATGCTCCAGTCTTTGTACATTTGCCTTTATTCTGGGTAAGGCTGATCGTTCTCCAAAGCCTTGGGTGCTGGATAAAGCATGACAAGCTGACGGACCAATAGGAAAGGGCTTATCTCCCTTTCTGGCTGGAAATACTTTGTGTCCCCTTAGGAGGTGAGGGGCAGGCCAGTGTCCTTTCACTTACTTGCTCCAGGTCCCCTTCATTGCCTTTCCTCCTCTCTGTCAAGTTCTTCGGGGGAAGGATGAAGAGCTCTGCTGAAGTGGGGAGGCCAGGGAACACAGCGACTAGGATCTGGTCTTCCGGGACACTGGTTACCTGCAGAGATGTTCAGACCCAAGAGTGAGGTCTTGGAGGAGCCAGCCTTCTCCACGCCAATAACCAGAATATGGACTATATATTTTTCAAATGTAGCATTTTAGGCATAGTTTCCAATATATATCCAGGTTTGCTTTCTGTTTTCCCTAGACCTGCTAGGTAAAGAAGTCTTAGTTTCACTATCTCCTCTGTTCTTACATATATTTTTACTAAAACTAAAATACTTCTACAAATGATTTTCAAAATAGTGTTTGCTGGCAACATGAGCAGAAGCTCCTCCTACATTTTTCCTTTTTTTTTTTTTTTTTACACTAGGAGGGCTCGAGCCTCTGGCTAAAACATCAACAGCCTGGCTGCAAAGGAAAAATAAGAAGTTGTAAACAAACACAGAAAAATGAAAATTTAAAAAAAATGCAAACCAGCTCTTGTTTTCACTTACTGAAGCAGGATTTTTCATTAAGTTAAAAGAGCTAATTCTGGTGAGGCTTCAGTTAAGAGGTTTCCTTAATTGTTGCGGGCAGCCCTAAGAACTGATACAAATTGCCAATTTGTATTTCAAAAGACTTACTGTAAGGTCATAAAAATATTCAGACTCTTCATTCAGCAACTGTAACTTGGAGTGTTTGTCCTAAAGAAATGACCCAACGTATAGGAAAAGCCATAGGGAGGAAGAAACACAACAATATTTATAATACCAAAGAAATGGGAAAAGCTCAAATATTTTTTTAAAAGTTAAGTAAGTAACAGTTATTCCACCATTAAGATGATAACTTGTGCAGTGCGGCAACATGGAAAATCACTTAATGATAGCTGTATTTGGATCTGTCTCCTTATATTTCTTTGGTTACAACTCTAAAAAAATAAAAATGTAGACAAGTAAAAAACAAAACACTAAAAGTTAAGATGCTGAAATTGTAAATGAAGTTTTCTATTCCTGCGTGTTTAGTAAAAGGATTATATTGCTTTTTAATAAAAACGAAAAGAAAGCTTCTGTCTGAAGGCAAATTCTTTAAGAAAACAATACTCTGAGTTCTCCCCTGTAAAGAGCAGGCCTGTTCTTTCCTATGTGTCTCCTGAAGGTCTTTTATCCAGAAAAACACCCCTTCTTCTGTCAGTTCAAATTATGTATGTATGTGTGTGTATTTGGTGAGCTCTGACTCCTGTTTGGAAATAGGCTTACAGATTGCAGTTGACGCTCAGGGACGTGATGAAGGAAAGGGAGAGCGTCCACTTGCAGAGAACTAGCCAGCAGCAGTCAGAAGCCTGAAAAGTTCTCCAAGGTGGGGAGGCATCCTGGTGGAATCCCAGAGGCCTTGCCCGACAACTCAGTTTCCTGCTGGGAGTCGTGGCCCTAAGTAGCTAGATGTCTCAGTGCCCAAGTGATGGGGCAAGATGGCCTTGTTCTAACCAGCCAGGGGAAGCAAGTGCCAGAGACCAGACTGAGGAGCAAAACGCAGACAACCACCCAGTGGAGAAGAGGACTCGTCAGATGAGCCTATGAGTGCCGTGGCTGGTGTGACTTTGCGTCCCAGGGAAGAGACGTCCCAGGGAGCATCACTCAGTTAGGCGGGACCTTGGAGCGCCATGTCTAGAGTCACTTAATCTCATCCAAAGGGACATATGAGTGAGATTTAAGGCCCAGGCATCAATGGAAAAGGTTGATTATTATTATTTATTAACATTATTAAAATTACTAAGTCATTTATCAAAAAGTGTGTGTGTTTTAAATAAATACAATCAGCCACATACAAGACAATCCTGACTGTTTCACAGTCAAGGGCATACAAGATCAATTTCATCGTCATCCCCATCTACGAACAATCTCTTGTAAAAAGATCTGTGGTGAAGTTCGTCTTGTGGGCAGCTCCCCACAGGAATGCTCTTATTTCATTCTCTTTATTCTTCTTCCTTTCTGGCAGCTCCTTCGCCATGTCCCTCCATGGACCTTTCTCCTCTGCCTTGGGGAGCATCAGCTCCATCTCTGCCCTGCCCCCCACTCCCCCTTGGGGGGATCTAAGGAACTCCATGACCTCAGCTCCCACATCTCTACCTCCAGTGGACGCCTCACTCGATCTTCACATCCACATCTTCAACTCTCTTGGTTACCTTCACCCAACTGTTTCTCATGCGTTCCAAACTCACATAAAAGATCAAACCATTATTGTTCTCCCAAGCAGGTTTCTTCTACAGAGTCCCCCTATTTGATGAATGAATGGCAAGGAAAACCATCCCCTACCTACTCTTATAATCAGAAAGCTTTTCCCTCCCTGTCACCCACAGTACATTTTACTAGTCAGAAATTCTATTGCTCAGCTTCCTAAGTAGTAAATCTCTCCTCTTCAGGATATTCTTATGTCTGCTTCAGACAACTGCAGTAGTCTTGTACCTGGTCATCTTTTGTGAAATCCTCCCCCATCCTATTCACTTCCTGCCTCAAGAGCCCATCCTCTGGCCACAAGAATGGGTATTTGAAATATAAATCTATTGTCAGGAATTCTTTACTTACAGAATAATAAAAATGTTTACACCTTCCAGAGCCTACAGGATGTATGTCAAACCCCTTTTGGCTTCTCAGAGCCTTCACAAGTTGCCCAAACCATCCCTGCTCGACGTCAGTCACACCTGCCCTTGTAACAGACAGACTGACTACACTAAACTGCCCATTTCCAAGTACACTGTGCATTCCAGTAGACCATGGCTTTGCACATGCTGTTCATTCTACCTGAAAGACATCATCCTTTCTGTTATCTACTATTTATCCTTTAAAACAGAGTTCAAGTATCCCCTCCAAAGACCATTCTAATAGTTCACAAGTGTTTACTGAATCACAAATATGTGTTAAGCCTGCACTTCCCTAGACAGAATCACACTTCTCTCCACGCTCTTTTGAAATGTTGGCCATGTCTCTACCATAGAACCAGTCACATATTAGACTTCTCTCTACAACTGAACTGACCCTGTTTTATTTATCATTATATTCTAGTACCTAGGTCTGAGCAAAGGGTTATCAAAACCCCTTCAACCTTCTGTAAGGAAAATACGACCTTGGGCTAACTCTGTAACTCCAGAGTCCACTGGCATACTACTCTGCTTCCTGGCCTGCAGCCTTCCAATGGCCACATACAGTGGGTCAATGGGAGTCTTGGAGTCTGAGTGTCTAGTTGAAGAAGGAAAAAATGGTGGGCAAACAGCCAACCAAGTGAGTGATGTTAGTACAGACTCAATGAGTGGCCCATCTGTTATTTCATTAAAAGCGTCAAGCTCTTGTCTTAGAAAAACTGAGGCTAAGGATGGGGCCAATTCCCCATCCTCAAACCCTAGACTGATTCTCTTTCAGGTCTCTCCCCACTAATCTCTCCATCTTTCCTTTCCATCCTTCACTTTCTCTACTCTTCTTTCCTCTCTCTCTTTTTGCAGAGAAATCATCTCTGTATAACTGTAGAATGGTGGTTTTAATCCATGGAAATGTATTCTGGGCCACATCATTTGGTTCTTTTTTCATAAAGACTTAAGCAAAGATAAAGCCAACTTACTTTCACCAGAGCCCGCTTGATAACATTGCCAATGTCTTGCCGCCACTCAGGGATGTCAGGGTTGTGGTAATCCAGATTAGGAGAGAATGACAGGAGTTGGGACTGGAAGTATTCTGCAAGAGAGAGTGTGTGAGTGAGGCTGAGAGAGGGTGTGATGGGCGAGGGGACTCCATGAAACGGCCCAGGCTTTCGTGTGGCCTCAGCCAGGATTCCTTCCTTTCAGCCTATTTCCTGACTTCTGAAAGAAAGTGGGGATTGGTGACTGGAAGTAGATCGGTGCTCCCACCACTTGTCAGCTCCTGAAGTCTTAAAGACTTCTTCTTGTAAATAAACATTATCTGACATGAATGAGAAGTATGCAACTCCAGAAGGAGGAGACTTCTGCTGCTGTAGGTGCTGTCGGGCAGAGGCAACAAGAAAGCATTAACAAGTTGGGCTTGATTAGAATGGAACCTTTCAGTGTCCTTCCCTTGGTTCCATCCCTCCTGCTAGAAACTGCCTCAGGGGATTAGAAAGTACCTTGAACCCCTGTCTCTGGGGGGTGGGTAACACTCAGTGTCTTGATCTGGTTGGTAGGTACACACACGTCTGTCCACTTTATGGTAATTCATGAAGTTAAACCACTTATTATGATCTGTGTACTTTTCTGTATTAAATTTATACTTCAAAAAATGTTTACTTAAAAAGAAAGTCTTCCAAGTGCCCAATGAGAGGGCCTGAGCAAAAAATTTGCATCGTTGTAGGAAAAGGCACTCATCTGGGGTAAAGTGGAAGAATTATAATCTGGGTCAGAGGATCACACACCTTAGGACAACTTTCTAGAAAATCCCAAGTAGACTGGCTGCTTTTACAGGTCTGACGGTGGTTTGTGGGACAGTGGCAGAAGCATGATTTGATTTAAAATAAATTTAATAATTAAGAATGGTTCCTCAGGCTGGGGAGGATATAGCTCAGTGGTAGAGCATGTGCTTAGCATGCACAAGGTCCTGGGTTCAATCCCCAATACTTCCATTTAAAAAATAAGTAAACCCAAATATTTCCCCTCCCCACAAAAAAAAAAAAGGGAAAGAATGGTTCCCCAGGATTGAGAACAGAATGGTGGCCCATTTACCACTCTCCTTCCTTGCTCTGTCCTTACATTCTTAGCCTTAGTCTCAGTCTTTGCAGCCAAAAATGTCAGAATGGTCAACAATCAAAAAAACACATCAGTTAAGTGCAGTTCGTCTCAGTATCTGAGCTATGAGTTCTTCAAAAGCAGGGACCATGACTCCTCCAACTTTTAAAATCACTTGTGCCCATCCTCACAAAGAGTGGGTACCACATGTGTGTTACAGAGACCTCAGCAGGTCATCAGAGCTAGAGGCTTCTAGGACAGTCTTTCCAGCTCAGCACCCTTTCAACTTATGACACACTCTGTCTAGTGAGACCATCAGGTTGTACTGCAGACACATCACAAGTGATAAGAAATGCCTGTCAGCGACCAGCTTCTCTGACAACCTCAGTATCTATTCCAGGAGAAGGTAAGGAGTAGGTTTGGATACCTTTTGTGGACCTATATAATTTTCCCATGGCTCGGGGAATTGCCAAAGCAGTCAGCAATTGCTGCTAGGGCAGTTGGAGGGGATTGGCTGGGCAGGAGGAGGCAACACAGGACGATTTTCAGGGCTTACCGTGAACTGCAATATCTTTCGTGTCCTGGATAAGGGCATTCCCAGCAGCCACCTGGACAGTGATGGTATTGGTCCCCTCTGCTAGGAATGTGAAGGAAATGCTGCTGTCCAAGGTGATGAGGGGCTGAAAGAGAGAAGCAGAAACCTTTACTTAGCCCTTTATGGGATTTCAGACTCCCTCCTTTCCTATAAATCGCAGACGGTACAAATCTGCATAGCATTTGCAAACTCCCAGGGAATTCTAACTTGAAAAAGAAAATTATTTTACCCAGCTTTCCAAAACTGTGATTATATACCCAGTATCCATGAAGAGTATTAATAGACTTGAAATACACTGTAAACTATTAATTCTGAGATGAAGACTGGACACCTTGGATTCTGCATGTCATTCTGTTCCTTCTCCTGGGGCAGAGTAGATGCACCTTTTGTAATCTGTTCCTAGTGGCTCTGGGAATAGCTGATCATTTCTCTTTACCCTCTATATTCCATGTCACTTATATTTCCATCCTATATTCCACTGGACTGTAAGATATTTCAGAGACGTGACCATGTTTTACTTAATTCTGTATCACACATCCTTGGCACAATATAGCAGAGTCTTATGTAACCTGGATACATGGTCATAGTACTGACTTTCTGTCTTATCATATCTGTGTTTTCCATTGCAGGGCGTTTCTAACATTTTCAATAGGTTGCAAAACATGTAAACATACATATCTGTGCTCCCTTTTTAATCTTTTTTTTTCTTTTTATGTTTTCTTTTCCTGATCATAACAGATAGGGACTTGCCAGGGCTAAAGAAAGAAAGATGGTAAGTATACATGATTTTTCCCCTGGGAATTAGGATCTTGATAGAAGCAAGAGCTTATTGGAGAGAAGAGAATGCAGATTCTGAGACTGAAGAGTCATTATTCAGCAGCTATCTTGAGGCCCAGGCCCTCTCGAGTTTGCTGGTGTTTGCAAAGGTAAGACAGAGTAGTAGGAGGCAGCTCACAAAGAGATGTCACAAGCACAGATGAGCTGACTCTGTGTCCTCTGTGTGTGTTAGGACAATGTGATAGAGTAATAACGCGGCCAGCTGGGGATGCAAAGAGTTGCCCTTTAAGGGTGTGTAATGGCCTGCGGTCACACGGCGCACCCATGCACCCATGCACTCTTAGCTGAGCAAGATCTGGATGTGAGCCCCTAGACCTGCAGAGGCTCAGAGATGCAGCTTTCAGACAGCATCCCTGCTGCAAGACTTAAATCCCTTTCTAGCTCAGAATTTTCAGCTGGGCCTCTGAAACAAGAATTTTCTGGTTTGGCTTTAAAATTCTACTGCTCTCTTTTATGACCAGGCTGATAGCTAGAGTTGAGCAGGATTAGAAATACTGCCCTAAGCTTCTGACACCCTTTCTTCTCTGCTACAATGAAAGAAAGACGTGAGTATGGAAACAGCTGTACACTTTCCCTTAGCCAAGGGTAAGCCCCAGAATTCAAGCATTCTTCCCCATCCTGTGGCTCTGTGATGATACGCACAAGGGTGTGTGCTACTCATTAAACAGCAAATGAGGTACAAGTAGGTTCTGTGATGGACATCAACTCCAGTGGGCCGACAGTGGCTGTTTAGTGTTCTGTGCTGAGGAGGAAACTGAAGTCAAATTGAGCTCAACACAGCAATGGTGGCCATGGACATGGAATAAACAGAAAGGGGGAACCACTGAGTTGCCATCTGCAGTATAAGGAGAACAGAGAGGCGAAACTCTGGCTTTGTTACTATTTTAATGAACAACTTTGGGCAAAATTTGTCTCCATTGTGGCCCTTAGTTCTTTAGCTGTCGAGTTAAAAGTTTCAGTTAGAAGATATGAGAACTCATTCAAAAGTCAGAATATACAGCATTGATGAATGGCTTCTGGTAAACTTCATAGTTCTACTAGTCAACTCCTTAGGTCCTACCTGTCAAAATATCTTCAATTGCTTCATTACTTTAGTCCTATTCTTTGGAAGGAAAATGAGATACCTCTATATACTAAATGGAATGGCTAAACTTCTTTAAAAATAATAGTATCAAACATTGTTGAAGATGTGGACTAACTGGAATGCTCATACATTTTTGGTGGGATGTCCCATGGTGCAACCCTGTGGGAAAAAGTTCAGTTTTGCAAGAAATTGTAATAATATTTTTTTGCAAAGTAGTTGTGCCATTTTATATTTATGACTTGGCTATTGCAGTCCTGAGAATTTAGTCAAGATAAAAGAAAATATATATCCATGAACAAAACAATGTTCATAGCAATATATTCATAATAGCCAAAATCCAAAAAGAGCCCAGGAGAATTTATCAGCAGGAAAATAAATAAGCAAGTCATAATATATCACACAATAAACACAAAAGAACAAGAACCAATATACACAACAGTATGGATAAGTTCCCAAACCATAAGAAATGAAATAAGCCTTATATTTAATAATTCACACAATATGATTACATTTATATGAAGTTCTAGAAAAGGCAAATCTAATTCATGATGGTAAACAACAGTGGTTGGTTCTGTGGGGTGGCAACTGACTGAGAAGGGATGTGAGAGAACTTTTGGGGAGTGGCGGCAATACTATATATCTTGATAGGAGTTACAGGAATACACCTTTATCAGAATTCCAGAAGTGCACACTTCAGATCTGTGCATTTCACTGTGGATATATTTAATACCTCCATGGGAGAAAAGTCTAAATAAATACTGAATTCTAGTTAATGATCTGTAACCTGAAGCATTTAGCACAAAGCACGTAAGTGTTTGAAATTTACTTAGAAATGAATAAAAAATTAAGATAGATTGACAGCTGGATGGAAGGGTGGACAGATAAATAGACATATGATGAAATAAGTGTGGTAGATGTTGATATAGACTACAGGTGGTGGGTGTATGGATGGTCACTAAAATTATTTCAATTTGAGTTTATGTTTGAAGTTTTAATAATAAACTGTTGGGAGAGAAACACAACAAAAAAGAAATCATAGATGTGTTTTTATTTTTTCTTGATTCCATGAATATGCCTCTCTCTGACCATAACTCTGTTCTATTGCCCTTCCGTTTTGGTTACTGCCTTCAGGTATTGCTAATCTCTTCCCACCTCTCACCACCAGGATACTTTCCTTCCCTAAAGGTTTTCTCTTCAAGGAACCTTCATGACTTTCATGTCATCATCTTCAGCCCTCAGTGGTCTGTGTGGACCCCCTCTCCTCTCCCTGCACACTCTCCTTGTCTTGGACTTGAGTGACTGGTGCTGTGCTGGGCAATGACATCTCTTTCTAAGAGAAGTGGAATTCCTCCCGTCCCAGCAGATTTGATCTCCACTCCATCTGGCTGCTTTCCCAGGAGATCCAGGAACCAAGCAAGAATGCCAGTCTGCAGGACAAGGGAATGCCATCTGAGGGGGGAGGGAGCGTGCCACCCCACCAGCCAGGCAGGGCTCTGAGCCACAGCAAACAAACTGTGTTGAATGCGAACACTTGGTCCCTGGGTAGCAGACCACGGGCCCCCGTGCTGGGGAAATGGCAGAAGCTAATTTTGTTTTCCAAATTGCTTTTGTTTTTCATCAGCTGTTACAGCCTCATGGCTGATTTCACCTTCCTTGCAAAGCTGGAACACTCCACAGGATTCTTGAGTTCTTCACCGGCCACCCATATCTAGTGCACAATGCTAAATTAAATCAAGCATTTTAAGGTTCATTTACTAAATCTATTAGGCAAGCAGACACATTTATTAAGCCAGACCTCGGTTAATCCCAGCAAATTGGCCTTTCAGAGCCCCACAAATCCAACAGGGAAGCCAACTGCCTTCTCTGTCTCTGTATTTTGTCCAAATTACAAGGTCAGCCCATAGCAAGGCTCACGCCCTGCCTAGGCTGTGGGCTACATCCCTGCCCACAGAGGATCCCTCATGGGCAACAGGTCACATGTTATCCACTGAGCCCAGCAAGACATCAACAAAGCTCTGACTAACTTACAGTTACGAGATTCTTGCTTGACTAATGGATCAGGGAGCTTCAGGGAAATGTTTGGATGCAGTCTACACCAGTTCCCCATACACAATAAGTCAAATATATACTGAATATTATAACATCTCCACATTTTAAATGTATACATTAATAAAACCTGCCATTCCCGAATTGGACAGACTATGTAATCACTATGCTTGCCTCACTTAAAATCTTCAGCAGATGACATAGTACTTTGTGGAAAGTGCTTATTATATGAAGAGGAGAAGGAAGAATATGTAATTGTGGATATGCTATGATTAGAACTACATTAGAAAAAAAATCTAAAATACCAAAATCTAAAAGACCAAAATTAATTAAAGTAAATCATATGTAAAGATGTGTTATGACTATGGGATTATTTTGGAAATTCAGTTTGGGAAGAGAAAGTTCCCTCAAATACATACACACACAGACACACACACAGACACACACACACACAGACAGACACACACGCACACACAGACACACATACAGACACAGACACACACACACACAGACACACACACACACACACACCCCTCTAAAAACTCTTCCAAAGTATCTTACTCTCTAAAGTATCACTGTCCATGAATCTGGTTCTATCTTCCATTATCCTATCCCAAATCTGAGTCTCATGACAAAATAACATGCATCCATTTATGTCATTCAAAGCAATTTGTCATCTATCTGCCCCCATTTTAGTTTTTTTATGCAATTTCTTCCCAAATGAATCCTGCTCTTGTGGAATCAGTCTACGTAGAACACAAACATGTCCAAAGACTTACCACAAATCCCTTCCCCTCCTCTCTGCCTCAATTCTGCCGCTCCTCCAATGCCAGCTTAGGGCCAGCTTCACACACGACTTGCTCCAAGACCAAGAAGCCCTGCATCCACTGCCCCCTCGGCTGCTTGGCTGGGCTGGTAATGTTACATTCCTATCACTGTACCTTATAGTATCTGTTCTTGGATGTCAACCCCACATTCTCAAATGGATTTCTTAACGGCCACAAATGGAATGTATGCTGCTTTGTTATGTTCCTCATAACATCTAGGACAAAATTCAGGTTCTTGAAAAAAGATACATGGAGCCACTGATACAACTTCACATCTCCTGCCGATACATCTCTAGGTGTATGAGCCTACAGTGGATTTCAGGAATGTTTGCTCTCTCCTGTTTATTTATACAGCATCACACTTGCTCACCAATCACTGTGTGTGTGTTCATCCTGCCTTCTCGTCAGGAGTGTAATCTCCTTGAAGGTAGGAACAGGGTCGTAAGTGCTCTTTGTTCCCAAGGGCACCAAGCAGAGGGTTGGCTATAAAGGGGTGAGGGTAGGGGAGAACTGATTCTTACTGAGAGGTTGATTTAATTCAGCCCCTTGGGTGAACCTGTCCAATTCACCTGGTCACAACACATAGAAACACACACACACGGGAAAATTTCTCCTCCATCAGTGACATTATGATGATTAAATAAAATAATGTATATAAACAGCCTAGTGCAAAGCCAATGCTAGGAAATAAATGCTCAAAATTAGTGTTATCTCCCTTTACAGATCAATTTGTTCATCAAAGCTAACTAAATGGCTTGACAATCAGAAAACTCACTAAGACACCCAAAGACACTCATTCATTTGCCAGGAAAATATGAAGCTCCCTGGATCAATTATCAGGCCCTGTGGCCACCTCGATGTGTTTCTGGCCTGAGCAAAAGCACTGAGAAGATACCTCTTTCAAACGGGTCCGAAAGCCATGCTTTGGAGGTGGGAGCGAGCTCTGTGGAACCGAGTCAGACCTGCCACTGGGATGTAGACGCACAGCGGTGACTGACGTGTTCAAGCGCTTAGATGCGTTCTGAGCACCTTACACACCTGTCTTTACCTAATCCTCAAAGCAACATTAACGCATAGCCATTACTAGTCTTACTCTGACATTACAATGAGCAAGACTGAGGCACAGAGAAATTACCTGATCTGATGAAAGGAACACAGCAAGAAGAATCTGAGTCTGGACCCCAACCCAGATTTGCCTGATTTCAAAACCACTCTGCTCTAATGCCTCTCATGTACCATCATTTCTCCTGGATCTCTGGATCCAGTAACTGGTAAGACCTCTGAGATCTGGGTATTTGTACAGCGCCTTATGCTCAAGTTTATAGATGGAAATTTCTAACCAAAGGAACACCTCAGGTCATCAAGTTAAAAAAAAAACTATAAAGCCATTCTGCAATTTAAAAATTTCTCTCTCATAATACGGCATCCTATAGATCAGATAGATAGATGAGAGGGAGAGAGATTCCAAATATTAACTCAGCCACATTTACGGATTGGATACTAGCATCCTCGATTTAGAGAAAACAACACTGACACTCAGGTCAGGTGATTTGTTCAAACTAACATAGATAATCATTAGAGAAGTAGAAACTCAGCACTCCATTCACTCTGCGCACTTCTCTGTTGATCAAATATTAGACACAGTCTGGTATTTCAGGTCTTAGAATCAGCACTCGGAGAAAAATTAAAAAACCAATCCTCAGTTCCTTGTGGGCTGTTGAGTCCATCACTGTGTTGATAACGGCCAGGAGCTGCCCTCCTTACACACCACAGTCTCTCCACAAAGATCACCGGGTGAACGACCACTAACAGAAAAGAATTCCCTGGCCTGACAGCCTGCACCTCACGTCCTCAGAGGCAAAATGAAGTTAAGAGCCTTCTCTTTCCAATTGCATCCTCCAAGACGATTTTCTCTTTTTCTTTCACCATGTACATCTGCTGATGTTTGAAGCAGAATTTTAGGGTCTGTAACCTCCAGGGGACGAACAGAGTCACGCAGCTGAAGCCCCCTGCGGCCGGGGGCGGAGGCGCAGTGCGTGGTAGACGGGAGTGAGGAGACCTGGGCTTTAGGCCTGGCTCCACAGTTAACCAGCTGTTTGACCTCAGGATGCTCATACCACAAAGGGAGCTTCACTTCTATGATGTATCAGCTGGGGGATCTTATTAACTAACCTCCTTACCTAGTGTCCTGGTGAATAATAACACCAGAAATGCAGCAGCATCAGAGCCTATGCTAAGGAACAGAAAGTACACAGCACAAACAATGTGAACAGAAAAGTGTCCCTTGGGTCCCTAAATCTCATTCAGTCTTCCATCAACCCATCCTAACTGCCAATTTTTATACCCAAATAAAAAGCATCCATTTAGTAAGTGGCTAGTGTGTGCCAGGGAGAGACGTATTCTCTTACTTAGTTTTCACAAAGATCAAGATGATACAGGCATCATTCCTCCCAGTTTGCAGTTGAGTGAATTAAATTTTAGGCCAGGTCACTTGATCAAGCTCACACGGCCAACATGCAGCAGTGCTGGAAACCTAACACTTGTCCCCATGACTCCAAGGTCCACATTCTCTCCACCTGTCCAGCTGCCTCCCTAAAATCATCTCCCATTCCTATCCTGCAGGAGCCAAAATTCTTTTTGGCCATCTCAAAACAAACAAATAAAACTTTTTCAAAGGAATTACTATACTGGCAACTGGAATATTTTCTCCCCTTTTTTAGATACCCAGCATTTCCAAGTCTGGTATGATTATCTTTCATAAATTATTTTTTAAAAAGTAAAGGTCTAAGATGGACCATGACAATCACATCAAGAATGACTCAAGAAACTGCAAAGGCAAAAACAAGAAGGGAGAGAAACATGAAGCCCTTAAATTGAGGGACGCTCAGCCTAGCTGCTCCCAGCTCCTGTCACACAAGCACGGTCATTCCTGGTACGAGCTTCCCCACCATCAGTTGCTAGGAGCAGGGAGTGTCTGCATGGTT